CTGGCTTCTTTATTTTTCGTCTTGTCGAATGTCGGCCGATCGAAGAAATGCCCCAGGTAAACATGATTGAAATGTAGGATCTTGAAAGCGTCAAAGGTTACCAGCAGGTGATTAACGGAGAAAATTAATGATTTAACACATTTAGCGAGGGTGTTAAACACCGCAGGGTGAGAACTATGCCCACACCAACAAGGAAACTTTTCTTGTATGTCCCAGGGCACTTTATCAGGATTCGTGTTGGCTTCGGGGTATACGGGACGGTTGCCATTTGAGGCATTGTTTAAGTATCAATCTGATTTCTTTTTATTAAATCAAAGTCGTTCTGCCAGAAATTGCCTTCTTGGTTATAATAAATTACCATGGCTAATTTCGTCAAATAAATAATTTTTCGGTATAATGTCTTTCATTTAGAATACGGATCATCACGCTGTTCTTTTCAGATAATATTCTTGGAATATTTGAGTATTTTTTTTTATTCTTTCTCATTACTGAAGTTCTAAACTGAAGCACTCGTAATCATGAGAGTAACTTTTTAATTAAAGAGAGAAATTTTAAAAAAAACGACTTTGAGGGAAAAAAAAACACAGGTAAGACAGAAAAATATTAGAGTGCTTGCACCTGTATATATAATCAAGACAACTAACCCCCCCCACACACATATATATATATATATATATATATATATGTATATATATAAAGAAATTAGGAAATCAGACGATTTTCTATACTTAAAACCACTGCATTTTAAATTTTTCTCTTTTTATATGTGTATTGAGCACTTTTTTCCTACTACTGTTCCTTGGTCTAATTCAACTCTGACCATTAACTTCTTTATATATATATATATATATATATATATATATATATATATATATGAATGTGTGTGTGTGTATTCGCCTAAAGATTGCGAATCTATCTATCTATCTATCTATATATATATATATATATATATATAGTCGCATTCTTTAGGCGAATACACACATTCATTATATATATATATATATATATATATATATATATATATATATATATATATATATATATATAATCGCAATCTTTAGACGAATACATACATTCATTTATATATATATATATATATATATATAGATAGATAATGCAGATAGATTATATATATATATATTTATATATATATATATATATATATATATATATATATATATATATATATATATATATATATATATATATATATATATATATATATATATAAATATATAATCGAAATATTTAGGCGAATACACACACATTTATTTATATATATATATATATATATATATATATATATATATATATATATAAACGAAACCCTTCCCTTACATTCTTAATGTCTTATGGATTGGATCTTTTCTAACTGATTTCTTTAGCTCTAAGTTGAAATGACAACCTCTCTACCTGTTGTGGCTTCCTGATCCAGTTTTCCTCTCTTGTGTTCCCTCTTTAAACTTCTCTTTGTAGTTCTTGAATGCACTTTAAAGATGGAAGCCAGAATATGAATGTTGATATACCATTGATGACATTGAGAAGTCAATGATGGTGACAAAAAACGATTTCAACTTGTTCTTTTTCTATGTGAATAACTCAAAAAGTTTTTCAGGGATTCTTACAGAAAGTGGTATCAAGGTGAGCAGCTGTCTTAACTGAAAGCCTGGACCGCTACGTTATACCAGGTACTGTGAATTGAGCGATAGACCTAGAAAGCCGGCGATTGATGCAATCTACCCTCATATACCAGTGGAAGAACTCAATATGTTAATGTGCTTCTGAACTGACAAATCGCATGAACTACCTGGAGTTATATGAGTGGATATTGATATTTCATCGAATGTGACGGATGGATTGATTGTTTCTACGGCTTATCAGCCGTTTGTGGCTGTGCCCAAGCGGTCATCTCATTTAAATACTTAACAGGCTGAACTGAATCAACTTCAGTGATCGAACAATAACCGACATTTTTAGCGTGATTCGAGACGGACAATCAATATTCTATAAATCGTTTATTCATTTTTTTTTTTATTCACTATTTACATTGTGCGGAATATCATCGTCATCTTTTATTGCCATATTTATCACAACGTTTCGGCCGTTGTATTCTCCGGCCTTCTTCAGGTGGTTGGATGTCAAACTGAACCCTTTATTTCGCTCGCTGGGGTAGAATGTTCTAGTTACACATGCCATGTCTAATGGATGTCAGCTATCACTTATCTCCTGTTAATTACACTCCACCGCCTTAACAAGTTATTGGACTGACACTCTTTGGGTCCTGTCACGGGATCTAACTAACGCCTTTATCCACTGTGCCATGTGTCCTTCCTGTTTAGTGTGTTAAAAGAATCATTGAACTGTAGTGATTATTATCCCAGGTACTTTCGGACAATTCATTAGCCATTTTCAAGGTGTTCTAAGTATTATTGTGTGTACGTCATAGCAATTCTATGTAATATAAGATAGTAGTCGGAAACCGCTCGCATCCGAGCGTCCGGATCATTATCTCCTTTGTCCGTTTTGGAACTGGTGGCGCAGATTGCTGTGAAGCTTCAGCCTACTCTTAAAGAGCAAGTGAGTTTAATAATGCGATTCTTGTGAATTTGATTTTGGTGGACCACTCTGCGCGACAGAGAAGCCCTCACACTTGTACAGAAGCGCCTCCCTCGCGGTTCAACGGGGATTGAGACAGGCGAGATCTGACAAAAATGGTTGTATCGGGCTGTCGAATGCTTGATCTATCTAGGTTAGACCAGCCCGACTGCCACTGCCCTCTTACGCCGGTTTGTTTGTTGAAATCGTGTAGATCTGTGCCCATTTCGCCATTGGGGATCTAAGGTGGTTGTTCGCCTTCAATTTAGTCCCTCATTCTCGATTTTACAGACATTGGTGGTCCTATAAGACTCCAGACGGCTTTAATCTTGTATTCAAAATAATGTAGCATTCCATAAAAAACATAAATGTCTTAAATTTTTTTTCCTCTAAGGCTGGTTATTTGTTGTTTCTCATTGCCTGCCTTGCGTTCACTATATTCTGTGTCAAATTATCGAAACCCAATTCTCTTCTGATTTTAATCATGTGTCATTTGTGTTTTTATTTTCCTTAAACTATTCTCGTTGCTCACTGGTCATATCCATGTTATCCGCAGAATTCCTCTGTTGCCGCCAGTCTCGTCGACCTATATATGAATATTGTCAAGAATTCACTGCACGATAGGGGTTTGATATTACACAGCACTCTCTCTAGTCATGGTTTCCAAGGAAATTTCCCTGTTTCTTTATACTTTTTGAGGGCATCTTCCGCTATTTCAATGTGCCTTCGGATTTCGGTGTCACTTTTCCATCCTCTGCTAAAATAATTTTCTCATTGTTACATTTCTCAATTTGATTGATTTCGACAATGCCATTTTGCAGCTCGCTTCTTGATCTGCGTTTTTGCTGACGACCACACATTTTGTCTCTCTCACAATTGATCGTCTTTTCTTCCGGCCTTCCTTCACAACCTTTTCATCTTCGTTGCTCTCCTTAAGATGTTGGTGTCACTGGAAAATCAGCTTAATGAACAATATCACTGGGCTTATTATGCGGATTGTGATAACTAGAGCAGTCAATCAGTTACGTGCCAAACGTGATACACGCTTAGGGGATCATGTATCTTTCGATACATGACTGACGGGGTAGATTTCTTTCCACAGTAGTTTGCCATTGCCATTTCTTTCTACGGTAGACCAGTTGCCATTGAAGACTATAGATCCCGTTCTGTCCTGCTATTTTACCCGTAGCTGGGGGGCAGAAAAATAAGGATTTATATCTTTCCCAAGGGTCAGTTAGTTATATGTCATGCGTGATACACACTTAGGTGATCATGTATCTTTCGATACATGACTGACAAGGCAGTTTTTTTTCCCGCAGTAGGTTGCCATTTCTTTCTGCGGTAGACCAGTTGCCATCCAAGGTTATAGAACCCGGTCTGTCCTACTATATACCCATAACTTGGGGAGGATGAGGAGAAGAGGATTCATACCTTTCCCAAGAGTATTAACACGTAAGTGAATGTAATGGTTTCGACTGGAATTCGAACTTGGCTCTCCGATTCCTCAATCCGAGCCGCTATCCATTACTCCACCATGCCTCTCGAAGATTAGAGCACGTAGCAAAATTAGACCGGAAGTAGAAAAGAAGTATCCTTTCTTTAGTTTAAAAGAAGAAATACAATATTAATTTTCAGACTTAAGTAATACAAATACAGAAGGACGTATGTTAATGTTTCATAGATTATGCAAAAATCATTTGATAAGTTCTAACACAAAAATCTATTTGAAGTACGAAGAAAACTATAGACTAATCCAAAATATATGCTTGGAGCAGAACGCATGCGCATATGAGGATAGTAGAACAAATAACTGATCACTTCGAAATCACAGGCAGCCTGTACAAAGAATTTGGAACATGAAAAAAATGCTCGAGTGATACAGATTCTCTTTCAGGATCGGCGTCGAATCAGATACACGTTAGTTAAATCAGCAATGTCTCTTTGGTGATACAGTCCAGTGAACAGGGTGAATGCATAAACCAATGTCCTGCTGTTCATTCGTTTGACAATGTGATGAGCACTTTTATGTTCCGTTGCTTCGAATTGCTCTGGTAAGCAATCATTTCGGGTTAAGCACTTCCTTTAAGAATCAAAAGAAAAGGCGACTTTGATCACTGACTGACCCAGACGGGAATCGTGGACGTATATGTCGGTGAAGACTAAATTTTATTAAAGAAGGGTGGATCGTGTCAGACATAATAAGCATGCTATTGGACGCTGATGAGGGGCGGGTATTTTTGTCAGATTTATTTTTTTCTTTTTCTTGCCTTTTTCTTTTGTTCTGTAACTTCATATATTTTTTCATTCTTTTTTTCTTCTCAATTTTTTTTCCGGTAAAATATTTTCAATATCATATTTTTTTACTTGTATTTTTATGAACGTATTATTTTTCTAGAAAAATAATGATGTTAATCTCGTTCTTTCTTCATTTTGCTTTCGATTTTCATTCATTCTTTATTTCTCCTTCCCTTCTTTCTTTCTTTCTTTCTTTCTTTCTTTTGAAATTGCCTGATTTATTTTATTCATTCTTTCTTCCATTTCTTTCTTTTTTCTATCTTTCCAAATTGCTTGATTTATTTTATTCTTTCTTTCTTTCTTTCTTTCTTTTTTTTAGCTTTCTCTTTGTTTGTTTGTTTCTTTCTTTCTTTCCAAATCGCTTGATTTTCTTTGTTTTTTTTGTTTGTTTGTTTCTTTTTTCTATCTTTCCAAATTGTTTGATACATTTTATTATTTGTTTGTTTGTTTGTTTTTTCTTTCTTTCTTTTCAAATTGCTTGATTTTCTTTGTTTCTTTTTTCATCGTTCAGAATTGCTTCATTTGTTTGTTTGTTTCTTTTTTCTATCGTTCCAAATTGTTTGATACATTTTATTATTTGTTTGTTTCTTTCTTTCTTTGCAAATTGCTTGATTTCCTTTGTTTCTTTGGTTGTTTGTTTGTTTGTTTCTTTTTTCCACTTTCCAAATTGCTTGATTTATTTTATTATTTGTTTGTTTGTTTGTTTCTTTCTTTCTTTCTTTTCAAATTGCTTGGATTTCTTTGTTTGTTTCTTTTTTCATCGTTCCGAATTGCTTCATTTGTTTGTTTGTTTCTTTCTTTCTTTCTTTCTTTCCAAATCACTTGATTTTCTTTGTATCTTTGGTTGTTTTTTTGTTTCTTTCTTTTTTTCCATCTTTCCAGATTGTTTGATATATTTTATTATTTGTTTGCTTATTTTGTTTTTTTTTATTTGTTTGTTTGTTTCTTTGTTTTCAAATCTCTTGATTTTCTTGGTTACTTTTTTCATCATTCCGAATTGCTTCATTTCTTTCTTTTTTCTTTCTTTCTGTCTTTCTGTCTTTCTTTCCAAATCGCTTGATTTTCTTTGTTTCTTTCTTCATCGTTCTGAATTGCTTCATTTCTTTCTTTTTTCTTTCTTTCTGTCTTGCTTTCTTTCTTTCTTTTCAAATCGCTTGATTTTCTTTGTTTCTTTTTTCATCATTCCGAATTGCTTCATTTCTTTCTTTCTTTCTTTCTTTCTTTCTTTTCAAATCGGTTGATTTTCTTTGTTTCTTCTTTTTTTTTCCATCGTTCCGAATTGCTTGATTTCTTTCTTTCTTAATTTCTTTTATTCATTTTTTCTGTCTTTTCAGCTTCCCAGATTTCTTTGTTTGTTTCTTTCTTTCTTTTCCCCGAATTGCTTCATCTCATTCTTTCTTTATTTATATCGTTCTTTCTTTCTTCTCATTCTATTCATCTCACTTTTCCAACGTTCGTTTTTAATACCTTTATATCTTCACTTCATTGTTAATAAACCCTGTCTTTGTTTTATTTTTTTTTACATCCGCATCTTCCTTCCTCACTTCCTTCCTTCTTTCCTTACTTATTTTCATTTATAATTCATTTTGCTATTTTTCTATATTCTATTTTTTATGTATAATTTATTTTTTTATAATTTCATTTTTTGATATAGATTTTTAACGGTGTTTCTACTTTTTAGTTTTCATCATTATTGTTCCATATTAAATTTAAGTAACTAGAAAATGATGTTAGGAAGATAATGCTGCACTATTCCTCTAACTGGGAATAGCTTGCTTTTCGTAAACTCCGACATTAAAATATAACTGGTCACAAACATTCGTCTCTGGTAGAAAATACAGAGCTCTTCCAGCCACGGTTTTAACCATGACACTGTTGTTATAATTTGCAATGATTTACCTTTTATTTTCCTTTATTTTTGTTTTCTTTCATTTCCTTACACAACTTTTTGCATGGCCTAAAAGAACTGTTTTGTTTCCTTGTTTTTTTTTATTTGTTCTTTTTTTTCTGGTTTCTCTATTCTTTTATTCTTCTAGCTTCTTCCTTTTTTTTCTTTTGCCTTCACTTCGAAGTTTTTTCTTCGTCAAATATATATATTTTTTACGGAACTTCTTCATTTTCTTCTTTTACCTAAACTTCAGAATTCGTTATCTGTGGGTTTTTTTTTCTCTTCTAAATTTCACTTATATTTTTCTTCATCATCTTCGTCTGCTTCTACCTCTTCTTCATACCAGTCAGTCACATAACTGCCTCACATGATACACCCTTCGGCGATCCTGTCGCTTCTTGATTCAGGTCTGACTAAGCAGAAGATTTCCGCGCAGTAGGTCGCCTTTTCTTTCTGTAGTAGACGGGTTGCCAACCAAGGCTATCGGCCGCAGTCTTGTCCTGTTATTAAACTTAAAGCTTTGCGGGGGAGGGAGATGAATTTATACCTTTTTCCAAATGTATTTGCACGTAACCCGGCTGGAATTCGAGTTCGGCTCCGATTTCTCATTCCATGCATTACACCACCCGCACATCCTCTTTTACATATAGTCATTTTTCTTTTATTCTCTTTTAATTACTTTACTCCCTTCACTCTTCTAAATTTCAGACTCCTTCTTATATTTCTTTTTTCTTTATTTTCTTCTTTTTCGCATTTCTTCTATAATCATTTTTTATTCAGTTCTAATTATTTTTCTTTCCCCCAAAAAACCGGACTGCTTCCTTTCTGTTATCCTCTTCACCACATAACTATTCTTTTGTAAAATTGCTTTATAATTTCTCTTCTTAAAATTCAGCATGTATATATATATATATATATATATATATATATATATATATATATATATATATATTCTCTTTACTTTAATAGTTTTTTTTCTTCTACGTGATCTTCTTTTTCTTCCTCTTTTTCTTCCTTCATTGTCCCTTTGTCATTTAAACATTCTTTACGTGTCTAATTTATTTTCTTCTCTATCTTAAAATTCAGACATCTTCTTCCAATCATATATAACTACATATTCTTTTCGAATAAGCCTTTCTTTTCTTCTTTGTCAGTTTATTTTTTTCTGTGTCTTCTTTGTCATATTCCTTCCTTCTCAAATTTCTATACCGTTTTCTATTTTTTAAAACATTCATATTGCTTCCCTTTTTATAATTCCTTTGTATTCTTCTTCGCCTACCAGGTTCAAGCCTCTTCTTTTGGTGCCCTCCATTTTCATTCTTTTCTTCGTTGTTTTCATTTTGAAACTCCTTCTTGACAAATATGTCCTCTTTATACAACAAAAGGAAATACACACTACGACTGGAATAATCAATACGCGTTCGTTTTTATTGGATGCGTTTGTATAAGAGTTTAATATCGAGTGACTCTTTATTCCCTTAATCTAATCTCGCTTCCTTTATGGAGCGGCGACATTAAAGAAATCTTCAATCTCCACACAACAATGGACAAAGATATATATTATTACTACACACAAATACAAATACAAACTGGACATGTGGGCATGCAAAAGAAGAAGAAGACTAAAAAAGGATTCAGGTTTATATTCAAAAGGAAAATATCATAACGTACAGCAGTAAACGGGCATTATTTATTCTGGAAACAATTGGATGATTTATGCATTTTCAATAATAACATTACAATTCATAATAATGTACTTCAGCAGTTTATTATCTATCTATCTATCTATCAATCTATCTATCTATCTCGAATTGTTCATATTATCTATCCTTCTATCTCAGTCTGTTCACATCTATCTATCTATCTATCTCGATCTGTTCACATTATCTATACTTTTATCTCAGTCTGTTCACATCTCTCTCTCTCTCCCTCTCTCTCTATCTCGATCTGTTCACATTATCTATCCTTCTATATCAGTCTGTTCACATCTATCTATCTATCTATCTATCTATCTATCTATCTATCTATCTATCTAAATCTATTTCTAGGCATATTTTTTCTCTATCTATCTATCTATCTATCTATCTATCTATCTATCTATCTATCTATCTATCTATCTATCTATCTATCGCAGTCTCTTATCTATCTATCTATCTGCATAACTTTTTATTCATCTATCTGACATTCTATACATCTAACATTTTATACATATATCTAACTCTATCTAACTTTTTATTAATATATCTAACTTTTATTCATAGGTTTATCTATAGTTATCTATCTAAAATGTTTATTCATATATCTATCTATCGAATTTTTTATTCATATATCTAACTTTCTATTCATCTAACTTTTTATTCTCTCTACCTCCACACACACACCCTCTCTCTCTCTCACACACACATAGATATATGTATATATATAACTTTTTATTCCTTATCTAACTTCTTTTTTTCCTTATCTATCTATATCTATCTAACATTTTTATTGATATATCAGTCTATCGAACTTTTTATTCGTATCTTTTTATTCACTATCTATCTATCTAACTCTCTCTCTCTCTCTCTCTCTCTATATATATATATATATATATATATATATATATATATATATCTTTTTATTCTTTATCTAACATTTTAATCTCTACCTATGTATATATCTATCAAACATTTTATTCCTTTTCTACCTAACTTTTATGCCCTATCTATCTATCTATCTATCTATCTATCTATCTATCTATCTATGTAGTACTGGAATTGCTGTTCACATTGCCTCAAGTATCTAATATTTTATCGATGCCTTTCGCAGTCTTCAAAGATATCTGATGGGGATAAAGTGACAGTTAGCTAACCCGAGAACCTTTGCGTCTTCACCAATGATAATAATGATAATGACTATCTCATTTCAGGTAAGAGCTAAGAAGCTCAGTTTATGAGGGGAAGGTTAATCCTAGACTTGGACAGGGTAAAGATTGCAGTGATCGTGGAAAATTAATTTGGGAGTCATTTTCACGAAATATCGGTTTGTAGGAAGAAGCTATTTGACAGTCACTTACAACCCACCCATAGAATAGGAAGGGACTTAGGGTTGTCCGTGGCATGGTTGATATTAGCCGTGAACGTCATAACTGTGCGAGCTAAAGAATTCACCTGAACAAATTCTACGGAAATAACGTTAGAGAGAGGGGCATGTAAAGTTTCGTCAGTGAGAAAGGATTGAAAGATTGGTCCCTGACTTCAAATGCTGTGTTTTGCTTGACTTAACCCCAATAATTTTTTTCTGTTTACTGCGCCTTCACGAGATAAATGTTGATGATGGCTCTCCACAGCATTCTATCTCTTGTAACTTTAATCAACATTTGACACACTGCCACTCCTTTTTACCATCCATTTAACCAAAATCATTTCCCATTTGCTTCTAATTCTCCCGACATTTCCTGTCAGGTCGAAATTACGTCGCCTCTTTTTACTCATAATGTTTACCATACATTTAAACTATTTCTGATTTTAACTTGTAGTTTTAACCTCAATACAGAGGTATTCAAAAAGAATGAACCGATTTCATGACGTATTGCCTCACACCACAATCATGGACATAGAATTTGTCAGTGAGCACTTTCTAGGTTTTGAATGGCTGCCAACGTCAAGTTGTTTGCTTACCCCAGGAACGGCGAGTGCTCGACAAAAGGCTGGAATCAAATATTGTTGTCACGGTGCAGCGTGCTTTTCGAAAGCAATTCGAAGTTAATCCGCCCTCTCCTAAGAACATTCGACGGTGGTTTAAATTCTCTCAAGAGAGTCGGTGTCTGTGTAAAGTAAAACGTTCAGGACGACTATGAGTTTCGGAAGGACAAGTCGGGAGAATTCGGGCTGCGTTTGAGGGGAGTCCACAAATCGAGCTAGCCGTGATCTTGCGATCTCTCATTCAACGATCTAGTATGTGCTAAGAAGACGTCTACACCTAAAACCCTACAGACTACACCTCGTTCAGGCACTTGCCACGACCTTGCTCTTTGTGCTTGGCCTGCGACATCCCCAGTCATTCTCGTGTGAGTTTTTTTTCTTGTGGGGATACTTAAAACATCGCTTTTATGTTCCACCGCTTTCCCCTAAACTTAATCACTTTAAACATCAAATAACAACAGCGTTAAACTCAGTGGATCGTCATATGCTGGTACGCGTCGGGGAGGAATTCTCTTATCGCGTTAACGTTGCCCGTACTACAGGTGGTCATTCAAGTTAGAGGGTTACGTCTGGAGGCCATTTGTGTGTATAGGAGTGGAAGATAATGGTTAGGATGTGGATGGGATCAGGGAATGTAGTTCCTCCGAGCACCTTTCGTGTGAGTAGCGGTGAGCAGCGAGAGGCTTGCCATATCCCGCTTGTGAGGGAGGATCTGCAGTTTGGAGAATAAATCGAAAACGCGTTTGAACACTATCAAAGCTGGAAAACGAGGTCTGCACAGAAGCCACGCAAACAATAAAATACTGCTTCGTTTTTGGCTCTTTTAAAGCTAGAAAAGTGCAGGGAGAATCAGGTATTCACTGGAACAGAAGAGAGGCCCAACTATCTTTCAAGGTACGGTGCTTTCACGAAAGGACCTCCGTTCATCCTGATTGCTGGTAGTTTGGGGTCAGATCGGTGATGATGGAATGTAAAAGCTTCGTGTTCGAGGCATTGAATATAACCAGTTAGTTTTAACCCCATTGTGTAGTTTGTACAAGATCAGAAGAGAAATCATTTGCCAATCTCCGACCATCAAGAGGTTTACTGTTCGTTCATATCATTTTCCCCTTTAGTCATTTTGCTCGATATAGTAGTTCGTATTTGTTTATCCAGTCTCATCTCTCAACCAACTTTTGCATAATTGTTTTCGTTTCAGACCCCATTACAACAGTAAGCTTATATCTAACATGTTTAGTTCTTGCGTATACTATTTTGTTCAATTCAGTGATTCTCTTGGAAGACACATATTGCCGATATCCATTAACTTTTTCTCGTACCCTTCAGAACAATTCCAAGTGCGCTGTTAATGTCTGGCACGACTGTTACCTTCAGTGGACATACTTCCATTACTTTTGCGATATCTAGACATTTTTTCTATCTTTGCACTTTTTCCCTCAATCTATTGAGCGTTTTTTTTATCATTTCAACCCGAGAAAATAGATAATAACACTAAGACGCAATAGGTTAATGAGTGTTAAAAAGAAACATAGGGGTTGATGCTCATTTAAATTTTTTGAATTACGTAGGTGGCAGAGAGCTGCACAGATGAGAAAAGAAACTATTAGAGTAGAACTTAGGGTTGCATCTGTCTGTTTCAATAGTAAAACGACGAGGCCTAGTTTCCAATGTAGTAGTTTGCTCAAATTTCATGCAATCAGGTTGCAAATAAGCAAAGTTCTTTAGAACAATTTCCATGAGATTATTATTAGAAAAGACACAGGGAAACCACTTCTCGACGGTGCGAAAGTGAATGACGTCAAAAGCGACAAAATTACAGACCCTTTTAAACTCCAGTATCATTTCTTCCGGTATTGTGAGGGATCGAGTTTAGCCTCGACTCTCGATAATTTTATGTCTTTTATTCTCTAAAAGTGATTCTTCTCTGTTTATATGCCATTGATATGTACATTGCCACGCAAAAGTTTACAACTCATTACAAAAAAGGTTGTTTTTTAGGTATTTCTAATACAGATAGATTAATTAAACATTTACTGCTCGTAGAATATATATTTATGTATTCAGTCAAACAATCAGATTTTTAAAAAAACCTTCAAAAAAAGTATCCCACGAAAAAAAAATATTTAGTAACTCAAAAAGTTTACAACACATTTTTTTTTTATTTACAGTAGCTTTTCACATTTTACTAGAATGTTCCAAATTAGGATGGAGTTGTTTTTTAGAATGTTCCAGATTAATTTCATGATTACTTTTAGAAATAATAAAAAGTAATGCGTTTTTACTGTCAACCCTCTTTTAAATATTGACAAAATGGGTAAAAGCAAAATAATTGATCAAGACCTCCGTAAACGTATTGTCGACTTTTATACAAATGGACTTGGTTATAGGAAGATATCTAGTCAGGTAAATGTGCTATTCACTTCAGTTGGTCCCATAGTTCGTCACTGGAAAACGTGTCATTTCATTCGGCCCCAAAAATGCTGTTGTCCCCCTAGAAAGTTAACAGAAAGTACGGCAAGATTATTGGCGGGAAAAGTTGGCAACGAGCCCCGATTTACGCATATATCAGGGATGATTAGAAGCAGGTCGACTAAAAGTGAGTACGGATACAATTAGTCGATCACTTGGTCGATATATCATCTTTTCAGGGACTCCTAGGAAAAAACCCTTCTTGAGCGAAAACACGTTCTTGCTAGACTGCATTTTTGCAAACGAGCATTGTATCAAACCTTTGGAAAATGTACTTTGGTCAGACGAAATGAAAATTGAACATTTTGGCAGACTGAAGGTTACTGAACATTCACAGAATATTACTATCCCACCAGTAAAATTTGGAGGTGGATCAATCATGATCTGATGTCGCTTTAGTGCCTAATGTGCAGGGGACATTGAAAGAATAGAAGGGAGGATGAATGAAGCATAATCTGGAGATATTTGGAGAGAAATTTATGTCAAAGTGCACATTCGCTGTGCTTGAAACCAGATTGATTCTTTCAACAAGACAAAGATCTTAAACAATGCTTACAAAATCATGCTTAATTTCAAATAGAATAGACTTTCTAAAATGACCAAGTCAGTCTCCAGATCTCAATCCAATTGAAAATTTATGGAGAAAGCTAAAACTGAGAATACAAAGAAGGAACCGGAAAAGCCTGCATGAAGTAAAGGAATTTTGTCGTGAAGAATGGAAAAATATTAGCCCAGAAACATGCAAGAAATTCGTAGGGGACTACTCTAAACATCTACATGCTGTAATAAGCAATAACTTTTACGTTATGAAATATTAATAGATGATTTAATAAATGTATTGTAAACTGTGGCGTTATTAAATATTAGTTTTTCTTCGTGGGATATTTTTATTGATTATTTTTAAAAATCTGATTGTCTGAAAAAAAAACTTGAACATATCTATAATTAGCTTTAAAAGTTTCATTAATCTGTGTTAGAAATACTTAAAGAAAAATTTTGTGTAATGTGTAAACTTTTATGTAGCACTGGA